CATAAGGGGGTGTATGTTAAAGAAATATTACAATCTTAATTATTTTCTGGCTTTAAATAATCTAGAAAAGATAGATAATCCATAAAAACAATTCAATTTCAGATATAACCATTTACACTCATTTTTATTTACGCCGATTAATGAGAATTCTCCTACCTGATGTTATTGATTATAAATAAAGCTGTAGTATTTATTATGCATATAATTATATATAGTTGTAGTATTATCAGCATTATTAATCACAGAGACTTCCTCTGCCAAAGACATGCATTTTCGCGTCTTGCTGAATGTTTATTCTTTATTTGTTATTTTATGAACTCATATAATTAAAAGATTTCTTTTAAAATGGATTTTTTTGAAAAAATCTGACTTTGAATGTTTTTGGAAAATTTTTTGATATTCAATTTTTAATCAATACCCCCCAGGTTAGGCTTTAAAGCCCCTAAGACGCAAAAAGAATTTCGAAGAAAACGGAAACCCAATAATTATTTTAGAGTTTAGGCGGAGACTTTAGAAATATAGTTGTAGTAGAATTTAAAAGTAACAGAAAACAAGGGATAATCCTCTCCTCCTGTTCAGAAAACAGTTGAGGATTTTGTACCGGACGATAGGTAAACCAATCTAGATCGAATCTGAGCAGGTATACATAAAAAATAACTGGACGATAGGTAAACCTATTGTAGAAAAAATAAAATATAAAATAAAGCATAAATAAATACTAAAAATTTCAGAGTTTATGCGGAAATGTTAGAATTGTTGAAGTAGAATTTAGAAGGAAACAAAAACACAATTCTGAACAATTCTTTTAACTAAAAAAAGCTATATATAAAGACTTGCCTAATGTGCCACACACATGGTTAGGATTGCAATGTTGAAACAGTCTACGTATCAACAAATAGTCAAACTCAAAACAGTGAATATAGCTATTTTGTGTCACTACTGCTGTGATCCGGACACCTTCATGGAAGTGGACGAATAATTCAGTCTTAAGGGTTTGTGTTCTTTTATGACCAGCAGAGGAATCTCTGAAGTAAGCTATTCAAAACGGCCATTCACTTTAGCGTATGGAGTAAAAGAAAAAAAAAATAGTTACAAGTGACACTTCCCCTGTTACTGAAAATGTTTGGTTACAGTCTTATAGAAGCAGACACTGTTGGGATTGAGAGTAGCTATGGATCTCCGGCTAGCGGGATTTGAGCGGACATCGAAATAGTTCCGACGCCGCATGCTAGAGTTTCCAGCCATGCGTCGTGATGAAAAGATGGGTAGAGGAGTCGTATGAAAGTTACAGTTTTCGTTTGCTGAAGTGAAAGCTAACCTGTTAGAATAATATGACACATTTATTTCCCCATTTCCCATCTATCTATACACCAAATCCTGCAAGTGATTACTAGAATAACCGCAGAAATTATTGAAAACCCGTTAATGTTCAGTTTATTTTTTACCTTTCATTCCACTGGTGAATTTACAAAAGGCATTGTTCAGTTCTTATGGAGTCCGACGCAAACGAGATTAGTGAAGCAACATGGGGTTATGTGGCCGGTCGCTAAAAAGCTGAGAGCGTGCTCTGATGTACATTTAGAATTTAATTCTGAAGAGCTTGATTATGCTGCGGTGGGTAGATGAAACATTTCCCTTTCGTCATTCATAAAACAACTATATGTTTACCAATACTGTAAAGAGGTGCTCAATCCCATTTTAGAACAAGCGAAGATTTCCAATGCTGAATATCAAATCAGGCATTGGCGCAATGTTGTCTGCTTCCAAATAGCCTTATGCCATACCTTCATAATGATCAATATTCAATAAAATTCAAGACTCTGGATTTGAATCAATAAAAATAATGATACAGTGTAACCCGGATATAAGAGAGTTGTCGGAACTGGAGAAGAAGTCTCTTATATCCGGGTTTCTCTTATATCCGGGTTTGTTCTATTTTATATACATTAACATAAACTCTAATTTGGGACCAGAGAAAATCTCTCTAATATCCGGGTTTCTCATATATCCGGGTCTCTTATATCCGGGTTACACTGTAATACTTTTCCGAATCGTTATTTATTGTCGTCTTGTTTTTTATTGTTCTCTCCTTAATCGTAGTCTTTTATATATATATATATATATTCTCCAACACTCAGTAACCTCTTACACCTTAGTGGCTTTATTACCTTGCTCGGGGTGAAATGATTTAAAAAAAATACCAACGTCAAGATGATGCAACTCCCGACAATTTTAAACATGTTCCAATGCTTGTTACTAGTAAGGCCGTTGTTTTTACTACTAAGCGAAAGCCTCAAGTGCATTAAATCTCCATCAGATTGCCAAAATGCCCCCAAATTCGAAACTTCTTATTAATCATCCTGTGCTAGACATCTTAGACTTTTTATTTAATAGTACAGTAAAAGTTTGGCCAAACTAGAGTTAATTACGACTGAACCAAGTTGCTTTCAACTTGTAGCCCCGCGGGTTAGTACTTCTGGTTGGTAGGTAAAGGCGCCGTTTCATATGTTCCTTGAGCAGAAGAGTTACGAACATTGCAATACTGGGCTTGCATACAATCTGTACAATGATTAAAATCCCGCCAAAGGTGCGTAAAATAATTTCAGTGCCAGCAACAGTCTTTATAGTTACACTCAAACCGGATTGTTACTTTCAGTCGCATGAAAATCCGTAATCTTTGAAAGACGACACGTGATAGACAGAAATAACCATTTCACACTTTATTTGGAGACGTCGAGAAAAAAAGAAAAGTTCAACTCGTTCATTAATAAATAGAAATGAGTTTTGTATGTTTTGGCCGATTCATTTTTGGGAAAGTTAAAAGTTCCTTCAGTAAAAATAAAGTGCAGATAATTATTTACATTTTCTTGCTTTGTGCACACAATAAAAAGAACAAGCCTAACTTAAGGTAGAAGCCGAATTATTTATTGATAAGCTGCAGAAAACGAATTAATAAATCTTTTTGCAGGTTATTTAAAGCCAGTAATTTTTTTTAAATTTCAAGCATTTCTTTTTTTCTAGATAGTAATGGCTTATTGATACAAGTTTTACTAATTATAATGGAGGAAGAAGAGGTGAAATAATTGCTCAAGGGAGTTGTGCATAAATGAATATACAAAAAAAACGGGAATTAGAATTCAACTTTCCGATTAAATCCCC